GGGGGTCCCCACCTTGCTGTCCCCGCGGGCGCCCCGGTCGCGGTCGCGGCGCCGCAGCCGCTCGGCGAAGGCGTCGCGTTCCCGCAGGTCCCGCAGCCGCTCCCGCTCCGACGCCTCCCACTCCTCCTCCGGCTCCTCGGGGGCCTCGCCGGCTCTTGGGGAGGGGGAGAAACGGATTGGGGGACCCCAAAAACCCCCTGGGAGCACCAAAAACCCCCCTGGGAGCACCGAAAACCAACCCAGGAGCACCAAAATCCAACCCAGGACCCTCAAAAAGTGTCAAAATCCCACCTGGGACCCCCCAAAGAGTCAAAATCTCACCTGGGACCCCCCAAACAGTCAAAATCTCACCTGGGAACCCCTGAATTCCCTCTGGAAACCCCAAAAAACCCCTGGGAGCACCAAAATCTCACCTGGGACACCAAAATCCAACTTGAGACACCCAAAATCCTACCCAGGAATCCCAAAATCCCACCTGGGAACCCCTAAAAAGCAATTGAACACCCAAAAACTCACCTGGGAACCCCTAAAATCCCTCTGGGAACCCCCAAAACCCCCCTGGGAGCACCAAAAAACAACCTGGGAACCCCGGGAGCACCAAAATCCCACCTGGGACCCCCAAAAAGCAACCCCAGACACCCAAAATCCCACCCAGGAATCCCAAAATCCCCCCCTGAGCACAAAAAAAAAGGCAAAATCCGCAGATTTTGAGGTTTTTTTGGGATTTCTGAGCGTGGAAATCCCAGAACAGCCCAAGGGGAGCCCCGAGGGGAAGGAGGGACCCCCAAGACCCCCCCAAACAGGGGGGACCCCAAAACCCAGGGGGTCCCCGAGCAGGTGCGGAGACCCCCGAGGAGGAGAGACCCCCCCCCAACTCAAACTGGGGGAGCCCCCTCCCCGAAATTCCCCCTCTGCTCACGGTGGGGGCGGCGGGGACGCCGCGGGGGCCTCGGGGGGGGACTCGGAGCGGCGCCGTCGCCTCAGGTGGCGCCGCCGGGGGCGTGGCTCGTCCTGGGCGTGGTCCTGGGCGGGGCCCGGCCCCTCCTCGTCGCTCTCCACCAATCGGTAGCCGCGGTTCTGCCGCTGCAGCTCCAGCGCCGCTCGCTCGGCCGCGCGCCCGGGGGGCTCCCGGGGGGCTTCCCGCGGCACCTGCGGGCGGGGCGGGGTCAGGACACGCCCAGGGGCCACGCCCAAGGCGGATGCACCCGCCCGGCCGCGCCCCAAAACGGCCACGCCCCATTTGGCCACACCCAAAAGGGCCACAACCAAAATGGCCCCACCCCCCTCGACCACACCCAAAATGGCCACGCCCCGCTTGACCAGCCACACCCAAAATGGCCACACCCACCCGACCACACCCAAAACGGCCACGCCCACTGGAACCCACAGCCCAGCCTGATTGGTTGCTCTGCGTCGGGACCCACTCGTGGTGATGCCGTTAATTTTTAACGTTAATTAAACGGTGCCCCTCACGGACGACCACGCCCCCTCTCGACCACACCCTGCGCTCAAGCCACACCCCCAAGCGTTGACCACGCCTTTAACACCAAATTTGGTGTTTTAAAGCCACGCCCCGCTCTCCGCGTCCCTCACACAAGCCCCGCCCACTCTCTCCCCTCAGAGAAAGCCGCGCCCACTCCCGTTTTCGCGCCCTTTTCTCCCGCTTTGGCCCCGCCCACCTTGTCCCACAGCTGGCTCGCGAACTCGCGCACGCGCGGCTCCTCCACGCGCAGGGCCTCGGTCTCGCGCAGCCGCTCCAGCAGCTCCTCCGGGCTGCGGCTGCGCCGCGCCAGCGCCACCAGGAACGCGGGGACGTGGCGGGCGCTGAGGCCCAGCAGCTCCTGCAGCTGCCCGGACACCCAGCGCTCCAGGGCCGCCATCGCCGCCATGGCCGCCGCGGCCGCTTCCTCCTCCTCTTCCTCCTCCTGCCCCTCACGGAACCGCCGTCCAATCAGCGCTCAGCGCGGGAAGCCTCAACCAATCAGCGCCCGGCTCGCTCTTCCCGCCCTCGCGCCGCTGCGGTTGCGGCCAATCAGAGCGCGCGGCGCGCGAGGCCCCGCCCGCCACCGGCTCTTACCGTAATATCGCGAGAGCGCTCGCGCTTTACCGTAACCCCGCGTGGAGAAGCGCGGCGCAAAATGGCGGCGGCTTTTTGAGGTGAGGGCCCGCGGAATTCGCGATTTTTCACCCCAAAATCCACCCGCGCCGCTTCTCCCCCGGGAATTCTTCGCTGTTTCTCCCCAAAAAGTGCCTTTCCCCCTCAGGAATTCCCCCACCCGGGGTCCGGCCCCTCCGAAATTCCCGTTTTCCTTCCCCAAAATCCGCGGTTTTCCCCCCAAATCCCCACCAAAATCTCCTTTTCCCTCAGGGATTCCCCACCTGCTTCTCCAAAGTTCCGCTTTTTCTTTTTGCTCAAAACGTTTTTACTACAAAAAGACTTCCCAAAAAACACCGTTTTTACAAAAAAATTACATTTCCCTCCCCCCAAAATCCGGTTGGTTTTTTTTGTCTGGGAATGAGAAACCGAAATTCCCAAATTCCGGCCTTTGAGGACACCAAATTTCAGGATTTTTGGGGTTTTTGGGATCCCAAATTCTGTAACTTCCTTTTTCTGGGGGTCCCAAACTCCAGAATTTCAGGTTTTTGGGATCCCAAGCTCTGGAATTCTGGGGTTTTGGGACCCAAACTGTGGGATTTGGGGTTTTTGATGTCACAAACTCCAGAATTTTGGAATTTTTGGGGTCCCAAACTCCAGAATTTTGGAATTTTTGGGATCCCAAGCTCTAGAATTCCGGGTTTTTGGGACCCCAAACTGTGGGATTTGGGGTTTTTGGGATCCCAAAGTCCAGGATTTTGGGGGTTTTGGGGTCCCAAAGTCCAGAATTTTGGAATTTTTGGGATCCCAAACTCCTGAATTTCAGTGATTTTTGGGGTCCCAAACTCCGGAATTTCGGGGTTTTTGGGATCCCAAACTCCAGAATTTCGAGGACTTTGGGGTTTTTGGGGTCCCAAACTCTGGAATTTCGGGGATTTTGGGGTCCCAAACCCCGGAATTTTGGGGTCCCAAAGTCCAGAACTTCGAGGATTTTGGGGTTTTTGGGGTCCCAAACTCCGGAATTTCGGGGATTTTGGGGTTTTTGGGGTCAGCCGTTGTGTTTCTGGCGTTTCCAGAAGCGTTTCACATCGGGGTGACCGGCAGGCGTGACCACCATGAGGCGCCGGGCAGGGGTTTTGGGGTTTTTGGGGTCCCAAAGTCCGGAATTTCGGGGTTTTTGGGGTCCCAAACTCTAGAATTTCGAGGATTTTGGGGTCCCAAAGTCCGGAATTTCGGGGGTTTTGGGGTTTTTGGGGTCCCAAAGTCCGGAATTTCGGGGTTTTTGGGGTCCCAAAGTCCGGGATTTTGGGGATTTTGGGGTTTTTGGGGTCAGCCGTTGTGTTTCTGGCGTTTCCAGAAGCGTTTGACGTCGGGGTGACCGGCGGGCGTGACCACCATGAGGCGCCGGGCGGGGGTTTTGGGGTTTTTGGGGTCCCAAAGTCCGGGATTTGGGGGATTTTGGGGTTTTTGGGGTCAGCCGTTGTGTTTCTGGCGTTTCCAGAAGCGTTTGACGTCGGGGTGGCCGGCGGGCGTGACCACCATGAGGCGCCGGGCGGGGTTCTCGAAGACGAGCACCCCCAGAGCGCGGGCGTGGTCCCGCAGCACCTCGAAATCCACCTGGGACAGGAACTGGTTGTACAGCACACCTGGACGGGGGAGGGGACAGGGACGCTGTCACCTCCTGTCACCTCCCCCTTGGGGACGCTCTGATGACCCTTTTGGGACATTTTGGGGACACTTGGGAGATATTTGGGGACATTTTGGGACACTTGGGGACAGTTCGGGGACATTTGGTGACACCTGGTTACATTTGGTGACACCTTGGTGACATTGGGTGACATTTGGGGACACCTGAGGACAGTTTGAGGACACTTTGGTGACACTTTGGTGACATTTTGGGATACTTGGTGACATTTGGTGACAGTTTGGGGATATTTGGTGACATTTAGGGACCATTTGGTGACATTTTGGGACACTTGGGGACAGTTCAAGGACATTTTGGGGATATTTGGTGACACCTTGGTGACATTTTGGGGATATTTGGTGACATTTGGTGACACTTTGGTGACATTTGGTGACATTTGGGGACACTTTGGTGACATTTGGTGACATTTGGGGGTATTTGGTGACAGTTCAGTGACATTTGGTGACATTTGGTGACACTTTGGTGACATCTGGAGACATCCTGGGGATATTTGGTGACACCTGGTGACATTTGGGGACAGTTCAGTGACATTTGGTGACATTTGGGGACACTTGGGGACAGTGTCTCACCGTCGGAGAAGCGCAGCCGGTCCCGCTCGAGCTCCCAGAGCCGGATCTGGTCTGTGATGGTCGGGGGCAGCACCGGGCTCTGGGACAGGGAGGGGACAGTGGGGACATTGGGGGGACATTGGGGACACTGGGGACATTGGGGGGACATTGGGGACACTGGGGGGATTGGTGACATTGGTGACATCAAGGGGACATTGGGTACAGGGACCCCCAAACAAGCAGGGAACCCCAGGAATGGGAACCCCCCAGATCTGGGGACCCCCCCGATGAATTTGGGGACCCCCCTGATGGATTTTGGGACCCCCCTGATGAATTTGGGGACCCCCGCCACATTTGGGGACCCCCCCAGTGGATTTGGGGACGCCCCCCCCCCCAGATTTGGGGACCCCCGCCAGATTTGGGGACCCCCCTGGTGGATTTGGGGACCCCCCTATAAATTTGGGGACCCCCTGATGGATTTTGGGACCCCCCCGGTGAATTTGGGGACCCCCCCCAGATTTGGGGACCCCCTGATGGATTTGGGGACCCCCCGGTGTCCCCCCTCACCTGTTTGGCCATCACGGGGTGGGCGCGAGTGCGCAGGAAGTGAATGATCTGTGGGGGAGGGGAGGCACCGTGTCACCTGGGGTGTCACCTGTGTGTCCCCAGGGTCCCCAATGTGTCCCATACCCCATACCCCAGTGTCCCCAGTGATGTCACCTGTGTCCCCACAGTGTCACCTGGGATGTCCCCAGTGTCCCATATCCCACACCCCAGTGTCCCCAGTGTCCCCAGCCATGTCCCCAGTGTCCCCAATGATGTCCCCAGTGTCCCCAGGTGTCCCCAGTGTCACCTGCTCGGCCGTGATGCCGTTGGCGATGGCGGCCTGGACGCTGTCCCTTGTCACCTGTGCCACCACCAGGTTGGGGAAGCGATAGAGCAGCTCGGAGAAGAGCGCGATGAGGGCCACCTGCAGCTCCGAGTCTGGGGACAGCAGGGGACAGAGGGGACATTGAGGGGATTGGGGACATCGGGGACAGTGGTGACATTGTGGGATCAAGGGTGACACAGGGGTGTCACACAGGGGAGGTGACATGGATGTCCCCAGGCTGTCCCCAATGTCCCCAATGTCCCCAGTGTCCCCAATGTCCCCAGTGTCCCCAGGTGTCCCCAATGTCCC